CAACTATATTTCTCACTTAGGCGTGGATGAGTAATACTTATTAGGCAGTGTATAAAGTGCATTTTATAAAACTGAAGTGCCAGGAAGGGCAGATTTCAAAAATGATCACTTTTCTTAATACTGCTAAAATGATTCATACTTTCTATAGGTGTCTTTTCGAAATTTAAACTGCCAACAATCTTTATTACAAATGAAGTTTTTACATAAAATACTAAGGAACCCAGTAAAAAAAAAAAAAAAAAAAAGTAGTTATATATTTCATTTAGTTTTTAAAGATACTCTAGAAACATTTGTCATTAATATTTAAGATATTCCGTTTCTGTTTCAAACATCTTATAACGATTTTGAAAACTCTTATCTAATTCTATTCATTTTTGATCCTCATCTGTCTTCAGGCTGAGCTAAATGTATCATTCTAAGTATTCACCATATAGATTCAGTTTTCTCTTAACCACTTCTCTTTAAATAAAGTTTATTTTTTCTATAATGAACAAAAGCACAACCTTTGTCTACTTTATGTAAACACTTCTGTACCCTGTTCTCCCCCTTCCATTGGACTCTATGACACATGGTTTCATCCAGAAATCTATTTTTCCTCACTTATTATATTTTTAATGCTGAGAATCTGATTTTAATAATTCCAATAAAAACTCCAAGGGTAAGTCAGGAGCTTTACTCAACTTTACTCAGCAGCAACTGTGAGGCGGGCGTAACGCTCCCTGTGCTCCTCTGACTAATTCATTTCTAAATGCAGCAACCTGTGTTGTTCAGCTCTACTCCTTTCGTTTGTTTTGTTTAGTTTTCATTTTTTGTTTTGAGATGGTTTCCCTGTCTGCCCAGGCTGGAGTGCAGTGGCATGATCAGCTCTGCCTGCAGCCTCCACCTCCTGGGTTCAAGTGATTCTCCTGCCTCAGCCTCCCTAGTAGCTGGGATTACAGGCATGTGCTACCATGCCTGGCTAATTTTTGTATTTTCAGTAGAGACAGATTTCACTATGTTAGCTGGGCTGGTGTCTGAACTCGACCTCATTATCTGCCTGCCATGCCTCCCAAAGTGCTGCGATTAAAGACGCAGGGCAACACCACACCCGGAGGCCTATTTCACTTTTTAAATTCTCTCTTAGGACTCTGAAAACCTCAAAACTTTGAGGCTATTTCACTTTTTAAATTCTCTTGGGACTCTGAAAAACCTCAAAACTTTGACCTAGATTCCCTAATCTACATTTCCAGCTCTGACCTTTCTCTTGAGACCTCTTCCTTCTAGTACACATATTATAGACCATATTCTCAACCACACACTCATACGTTGCTACTTGGTGGAGATGACTTTTGTAGATAGTGAATCTTGTCTATTTTACATTGGTTCTTATTGATGCTACTTTGAGTATACTGTTATTTTCTAATCTGAAAGAGGGACTATCTCACTGTTACGATACTGACCAGTACACTTTGTCCTTTTTTTCTTCCTTTCTTCTTTTTTGGACCACTATACACTGTTTTTCTTTGTTTTTCATTTTTTGTTGACATGAAGTCACGCTGTGTCATCCAGGCTGGAGTGCAGTGGTGCCATCTTGGCTTTCTGCAACTTCCACCTCCTGAGTCCAAGTGATTCTCCTGCCTCAGCCTCCCAAGCAGCTGGGACTACAGGTGCACACCACCACACCTGGCTGATTTTTGTATTTTCAGTAGAGACAGGGTTTCACCATGTTGGCCAGGCTGTTTTTGAACTCTTGACCTCAGGTAACCCACCCACCTTAGCCTCCCAAAGTGTTGGGATTACAGACATGAACCATGGCACCCAGTCCTCGTTTTCTTTTATAACGAAAACTTTCCCATGAGAATCAGATTATCAATTGTTTGCCTTTGTTTTCTTTTAAAGAATTTCCTTTTCCATAGAGATGTGGCATGATGAAAGTCTTGTTCTAAAGTTTCTTTCAGGGGGACACTCAACTATATCATTGGCAGCTCCAGTCAAGTAGAGGTCTTCCTGCTTCCCAATTGAGATTCCTCATCTCAAAATGGTATCCACCAAATGTCTTAATCCAGGTAGCCTCTCGCTTAGAAATTCATGAAATAAGAACCTTCTTGAGAAGTTAGAGGCTATTGATGGAGATGGTTTAAAGCTGCCCCTTATTACATGTTTTACACTCAAGGCAGACATCAAGTGGCTAATAATTCTATGCCTGATGTCTAACTCAATTCTATGGGAATCTATACAGAACGTTTTACTTATGAGACAGAGTCTCGCTCTGTTACCCAGGCTGGAGTGCAGAGGCTTGATCACCACTCACTGCAGTCCCAATATTCCAAGTTCAAGTGACCCTCCTACCACAGCCTCCCATTGTAGCTGGGACTACAGGCATGCACCACCATGCCTCAGTAAGTGTTTAAATTTTTTTTTTTTTTGAGACAGGGTCTCACTATATTGCTCTGGCTGGTCTCAAACTCCTGGGCTCAAGCGATCCTCCTGCCTCAGCCTTCTAAAATGCTAGGATTATTGGCATGAGTCACCTCCCCCAACCAGGTGTTTAAGTGGGGACTAACTTGAAGCCCTTAGAAGAGTACGTGGAACATAGTGAGCTACATAAAATATTTGCTATTGGTATAATAATTCTATCTGTATATCTTAACAAAATTGTGTATGTTAGGCAGGCGGCATGCCAATGGAACTAGTCTCCTATAGCTGCGCTCAATCATTCTTCTCACCACTGAGAGCTGCAGCAAATGGGGGGCATAAAATTTATAACTGACTTTTCTATCTGTATGACTCAGTAGGCAATGACTATGTATGTACTACCATGTAAATAGCGCCTCCTGGAATGAATAGTACGTAACTGACATGACCAGCAGAGACAGGCTAAAGACACTGAGCTGGAAAACCCTAGGCTCTATTGCTAAATCGAGGTTCCTGAATCAGTTCCCTCTGAGCAACTGTTGCTGTGGTGCTGCCTTCACAAGCCGTCTGCTGAGCACTCAGATTGAGGGGCTGTGCTATCGTTCCTCAGACAAGCTGCAGCCAGAACTGGTCAGCTGACAAACTGGTAGCAGTCCAGAAATACAGTTCTGGCTGCGGAGTGAAAAAAGGCCAATTTAGATTCCTTTTCATAGTGAGAAAAACATAAACATGGATTTCAACGATTCTCCTCTATTAGACTCATTGGTTTAGATTTGATATTTAATTGCTAAAAATACATTTAGAATATAAACCTTACTGTGTCAAAGTCTCAAAGAAGAAATAATTGGTATGGTATAAAGTACTTCATTGTATGCTAAAATCTTCTAAGCTAAAATGTTTTCAATTTATGCAAGGATAGGTGGCATACATATTATATATTATTCCCCCATTAAGCACATTTATAATGAGACAAAATTATCTACCATAAAAAAGCCATGTAAAATTAAGGACTAAGTTTTTCTGCACAGACTAGACAACAATTGCTAACACATAAGGTCAATGAGAGTCAGAACAGTCATAGAAAGCTTCATGAAACAAAAAATCGTCTGCCAGGTCTGATGAATGAGGCTAGATGAACAGAAACTGAAAAGGCAGAAAGGATAGCATGAGCAAGACAAGTGCTGAAATCTGCCCAATTAACTCTGAGGATAAAGTTCAATGGCAGAAAAATAAAAACACATGTCCACATAATAACCTGTAAGTGAATGTTCGCAGCAGCATTTTTCATAATCGCTAAAAAGTGGAAACGAACCTAAAGATCCATCAACTGACGAATGAATGGAAAACCAGTATAGTCATGCAATAGAATATCATTTAACTATAAGAAGAAATAAACTACCAATGTGTGCCAAAACGTGCATGACTTCTGAAAATATTATGCTAAGTGAAAAAGCCAGTCACAAAGGACTACAGATTGTATAACTCTATATATATGAAATACACAGAACAGGCCAACCTGTGGAGACAAAAGTAGATGGTGGTTGCCTATAACAGGGGTAGGTGAAGAGACATGGAGGAAGGTTGCAGTCATGCTTGGGAGATGTGGGGTTGCTTTTCAGGGTGATGAAAATGCTGTGAATATACTAATAATACTGAGTTGCACATTTTAAATGGTTGAACCGTCTGATATGTGAATTATATCAGTGAAACTGTTTTTAAAATCCAATGGCAGGACCAAGATAATTTTATCTCAATTTTTGATGTACATACTATATCAAATCTAAATATTTCTACAGTTTTATAGTATATTTTAAATAAAAGATAAAGAAAATGCCTAACTTTTCAAATAGTTTGTAAATTAACCTAAAATAGTACATTTCAAAGAATAGTATAGTGGCCTTTCTGTACAAGTTAACCTAGAATCTGTGAAATAAATAGACACAGATTCTGTGTTCATTCACAAAAGTGAAGAAATAAGATAATTTTCTGGAACATTCCATTAAACATTCTCCTCTGATTTAATCTGGCGTGCCTCATCAGAGCAACACAAAAATTACTTACAAATACTGTTTAACAGGAGAAAAGTCAATTTTCTGTGAGGAATGATGTATAATTCTCAACCTTTCCAAGGGCATGTGTTGCAAGAGAAAAGGTATATAATGGTTTTTCAAAATGGTAGAATGAAAGTCACAATATAAAAGAAAAGTACATTATAAACATAGTAAAACGGAAATAATTAATTATAATTAAAACACAAAAGCTTCTGCCAAAATTAGTATCCTAAAACATGTTATATAATTCAATCAGCTGCAGAATAACTGTCGACATGTTAAATTTCATACATACTTGACTTTCCACTTGAAATAATTTCTTCTTTGAGGCCTGTGTCTCATCCAAATTAATGTGACAACGTGATGTACCTTCCAGTGGAGACTCTAACATAGTTAATTTTTTAAGGGAATCAGCTACTTCTCGTTGAAGTTGTCTCACAACCACCTGATAAAATATTTTTGTTACTGATTTTATTAATTGCCTTATTATTAAATTATGTTAATACTATTGAACTCTAACGTACCTACTTTGAAAATTATCACCACACACATTAATTCACCTTCTTTTCATCACATGTACACACTTTTATTTATTACTGAATTCAGTGAGGAATGCAGAATGTGTTATCTTCCTGCCTAATTCGTATTCTTACTTACGCAACAGACTCATCCCACCATTCAATCATCTTAGAAGCTCAACTCAACCTCAAAGTTCCTAACATATTCAATCACCTGTTCAAATCCTTCTAACAGATTCCTATCTCAGAATAAAAGTAAAATTCCAATGACCTTTGAGGCCCTACGTAAACAGGCCTCTACCTCCCTCTCTGACTTCAAGCTCCTACAACTCCCTCTGTAATTACTCCATTCCCACTGTATGTGAAGCCTGCCACCCCTCTTTCGTTTGAAAATGGGGATCTAATGCCTAACTCATAAATCACAGGCAGCTATAGTATCTTTGTACTGGACAAAGTTATATTCAAATGATAGTCATTGAGCTTTGAAATAAAAATTATGAGATAATTATTAATAAAAATATTCAAAGTAAACTCTAAATACCAGTGGGAAGACTAAACCAAATACGGTTTTGCTAAAATTTACCACATATCCTAAATTATAATTTTATAACAAGTAGGTGCCCTTAAAACATTTTGTGGTCATAAAAATATGTAATTTGATGTATTTTCAGATTTGTTAATATGAATAATAACAAAGCTATACCAACTAAAATATATTAAAAGCTACTTAAAGCAAGGTATGACAAGACACAGCAATGTACTACAGTTCATCTGGGAAATCTAGAATTAAGTGTCAAAGAAAATCACTTAATTAAATTGTAATTTGAAAAGACTCATTTCAGGTGTAAACATTTCCATTTATACCTTCATCATGGTCTTAACATGTGGCAACATAAAGACATTAAAATTATTATTTAACCAGTACAGGACTATCTACCTGAAAATATAACTCTGTGCCTAATACAATTTTGCAGGTGACACAATGTCTTTTCTCAAAGTAAATCATCTCTCACCTCTACCTTTTATTTCCTAGAAACAAGGTATATTTCTAAGCTGATGGAGTAAACACATTTTGCCTTTTTTGTTTTCTTATTAAAACAGCTTTGTTGAAATATCATTTACATACTATATCTGTTTTAACTTAAGTTAAACGAGTTTTAGTACATTTACTAAGTTGTGCAGCCATCTCTACAATCCAACTTTAGAGCATTTCCATCACTACAAGATCCCTCACGCCCTTTAGCGGTCATTACCAGCTTCCAGCCCCAGCCCTTCGCAAACATTAATCTACTTTATGTCCCTATACGTTTCTCTTTTTTGGATGCTTCACGTAAATGGAATTATACAATATGGTAAACACACTTTTCATCTATTGATTTTTATATTCAACTAGGTTCAACATGTATCCAGAACCAAATGTTTAAATTTTCTTTCTAGAAGTTTGAAAATATTTCTCTTCCTTGATACTTACTACTCTTTCTGCTTTCTCTCTCTCATATCGAAAGAGACTTTCTTTTAAATGATCACAGTCATTCATTAGCTTCTTATTTTTCTCTTCGAGCAGGAGGTCTTTCTTTCCACTCTCAATAGAACCTCTTTGGATCTTAATTACTATCTCTTTATGATCCTCTTTCTGATGAACATCATCTAGTAGCTGTTCAAGCCCCAGATTTTCACGCTGGAGTTGACATCTCCTTTCTTCCACACAGTTCCACTCTCCAGTGGAATTACTCACTTTAGCTTCTGCATTTTGATACCTCTCTTTCATTTCCTTTATTTGCTGCTGGGCTTGGCTTAGGTCGTTTTGTAGAGTTTCGAAAGCCAATGACTTTGTTCTGAGAGTATCTCTTGTCTTACGGAACTTATCTTTTAAGGTATTGAATTTAATTCGCATTTGAGAAAGTTGTTCAGTGAGACACTCATTCTTATCTTCAACTTCGGAGATATCAGAACTCATTTTTTCTTGCACAGAAATGTCTTGTGTGTTCTGTAAAGCAAGTTTTAGGTTTCTTTCTGTTTTCACACTTTCACTATGCTTACTTATAACAGCAGCCAGTCCAGACTGATAAGATTCAATTTCAGCTTCCAGTCTTGCCTTGCTTTCTTTTTCCTTCAGCAGTTCGGAATTGAGCCTTTTATTCTCAGCTTTGAGATCATTCAACTCTTGTGGATCCTGGAATGCTGTTTTTGCTCTTTCCTCAGTGAGTTTTATACTGTTTTCAAGGGCAGCATTTCTTTCTTTAACAATTTTAATGTCCTTAAGATATTCATTTTCTTTTTCCAAGTTGTCATTTTTCATTGTATTTCCTGCCTGAGTATAGCAATTTCTGTCTTCAAAATGCAATTTTCAGCCATCAGATCTTCCGTTTCTTCATGAGTATGAAAATCCTAAATAAAATAAAAGACAGTTTTAGCTAGTACTCCATATAATAACATATCATGATTACCTCTGAAGCTAAAGAATAACCTGCACAACCGTACACTAAAAAGTTTACTGTCAGTGGATATCCAACAGGAGAAAAAGTTGAAGCAAAACTTTGAACCTTGTAGAGCATAAATTCCAAAAAGTTCAGAAATTTATTTAAAGTCAATGAATTTATAAAAGTAAACACACACACACGCACACATGCACACCAGAGAATTTGTAAGAATATCAGAATTGGAAAAGGCTTTGCCTGAATTACAACAAACCCAAAAGCATAAATTAAAGCATTAACAAATTTGACTAAATTAAAATATATCAAAAAATGCATTTACACTTTGATATCTAACCCTTACACCACCCTATAGTAAGAACCTTAGTTCACACGTATTTGGACAGATAAAATTTCCCAAAGTTATTACAGTTCTGTTTCCCAGATAATATTCTATTGCAATTTGACTCTTTTAACACTTCTATAGTCAGTTCTAAGAATTACATTTACTAAATCATAAATCTAGACATTATACTAGTCACTCCTATATACATTCATTGATGAACTCCTCTAGTTACTGTAATTTTGAAAAAGAAAGGTTAAAAATATAAGCAAGCTACAGGATTTTCCCCAGGACTTCTGAGTCTATTTCTAGTTCTCCAACAGATCACAGTTACTTCTGTGGTATAATTATATCAATACAAAATAAAATTTGTATTTTAAAACACCAACGGTAAATAAGATAAAATTTATAGAGCTCTTCTTAGAATATCATGAGATTATTTGTGATTGCAATAATTTCTGTTTCTTCTTTATTTTATTTTAGGTACAGTAATCAATATGAAATAGGGAAGTACAAGGAACAATTTTACTGGGAACAACATTTTTATCAATAGGTTATCACTAAGTATACATTATGGCATGTTATTGTTTGCAAAAGCACTTGGTAATAAAATAATATCCTATGTGGATGCCAAGACTTATAATAAATATTAATAATTGTACCTGTAAGTGTCACCATTCATTTTTAAAAGTGAGATAACACTTCTGATTTGTTTTAGACCTATTATAGTATATATTAAATCAAGTGGATATTAAATCAAGTAAAATTGATACATAATGTTTAAAATATAGAATTTTTACCAAAGATTGATTTACCTGATTTGGAGTATTTCTTGCAGTTTTTGGTTTCATCTCTAGTGACTGAACAGTCGGTTCATGTTGTTTTGCTTCAACTTCTTTCTTTTGTTGTTTCTCTTTCCTTTCTAATTCTTCTCTATTTTTTTTGTACAGCATATTAACATTTATTTTTTCTTCATTTTCCTGTTTTAAGGTGCATCTGCAGATAAAGACATTTCTCTTAAAATGCATTTTGTTAAAAAATAAAGAGCTCATCTTGTTATCTACCTCTGCAGACGTTGTTTATCATCCTAATAAAACTTCCATGTTCTGGATTATTTTTCCTTTGCAGCTCTCAGATATTTAATTTCTCACTTCAACATCTTCAAAAGAATGCATATACTTGAAAAGTAGTAAGGAAAGGATATTCCGCTAAAGTTTCTGTTACTAGTCACTCTAGTATATATTATAAAAAAGGATACTGGAGATTATTCAGTAAAGTTACAAGTTCAAAGTTACCTTTTTAAATCACACGATCATAATTACTCCCTTATCAGAAAAGATTGTTTATGATCAACTACATTTTTAAAGTTACTATTTATTGACAAGTGTATAAGTTCACTAGAAATAAATTTTCATCTTTATGAAATATTGCAGGTACCTCTCCAAATGATTGACAGAGTAAGATGGCACCTTCAGCTGTCCCTCATACAAACTATATCTGCAGATGACTGTCAGCCAAAACTAGGCTAAAGAGTCTAACATCTGTTACCCCATATTTTTTATATTACTTTCTAAATACTTTCAATTCAGCTTGTTATTACATAGATTTTATATATTTATTAACCTATTGTTCATTATGTGTAATATATAATTAATGTCCTTAATAAGTGTGTGTATGTTTACACAAGTTATGTTTTCCTGTGAAATCTAGTCCCAGAAATGGAGTTGTTGAGTTAAAGGGATGTCAGGTTATTTGAATTTTTGATACAAAGCACTAAGTTGCCCTTCGGAAATAATTTACCAATTTCATATACCAACGATGTACGAGAATGCGTTTTTCCTCACATACGCCAACACTGGTAATTACTTTTTAAATATCAGCATGACTTTTAAAAATATATCTTATTTTATGTTAATTTGCATTTTTCTGATTACCAGGGAGGACTAAATATCCCTGGTAAAAATATAAAACTTGTTAATCATAAGGAATATTAGTCCAAGTTTGCATTAGTTTATAGCACAATGACAATTACCTCCTGTTAAATACTGCTATAGGCAGCCAGGCACGGTGGCTCACTCCTGTAAACCCAGCATTCTGGGAGGCCGAGGTGGGCAGAATATCTGAGGTCAGGAGTTCGAGACCAGCCTGGCTAACAGGGTGAAACCCCAGTTCTACTAAAAATATAAAAAATTAGCCAGGCATGGAGGCACATGCCTGTAATCCCAGCTACTAGGGAGGCTGAGGCAGCAGAGTTGCTTGAACTTGGGAGGCAGAGGTTGCAGTGAGCCGAGATCACACCATTGTACTCCAGCTTGGGAAAGAAGAGAGAAACTCCATCAAAAAAAGAAAAAGAGAAAGAAAAAAAAATCCGTGTCCTAGGCTTACCTATCACGCTCTTCCTTCAGCTTCTTGGGAAACTGCTGAGGATCCATTTCCCCAGTCTTTCTTTGTTGGGGTAATCTGTCAGCAGCAGCTGTGCGATCACATAGATTTTCTGATACTGGTATTTTTTCACTTTTGTTTGTATTATTTCCTTCTTTGACCTTTAATAAAAGTAATATGAATAATAATTATTATTTTATTCAATAAAAATAACTTTTTTCCTGATTTTTTCACTTGATTCAGGTTAAATGTCACCATTTTTATCATAAAAGTATTTTGTGTTTACTTTAATCTTATCATTGTACATAATGATTATAACTATAAGGTACTCATCATTTTATCATTGAAATTTTTGCCAAGTCTGCTTATTTCTGTTTGAGTGAACAGAAAAATTTTACAAAATTTCAAAAAGGCTCTTCTCCATTTTGTGCTTTTATTCCCATCCACTCTTTGCTGCCTGATATAAATTTTTATACTATCTGACTGGCAGAAACAGAGAAATAAAAAGACACAGGCGTAACATATGTCTTCTGTCTTTACCACCTGGATTTTACATGAAATAGCCAGATGAAGAGGATGTGACCTTGTGGGGCTTCAGGAACAGTAAAGAAGTTTCCCTTTTCTGCACTAAGCTATTCTTTTCCCCACTGCCTTTTATCTCTCTCTTTTTTTTTTTTTTTTTCCATTTGAATCCTGGGATATCAAAAAAGTAAACGTGCTCCCTGAAGGATGGGAACCAAAGTTTGCCACAACACAAGAAGCAGAGTGAAACTGCTGAGTTTCTAGTGCAGAATTCTGGAAAATGCGATGCTTCCCAGATTTCACATTCGATTACCACAAAAGTTGATAGGTGGAAAGCATACGGTCCAGTTACCAACTTTAGCCCCATTATCTACTGATAATGGGAGTCAAACGAACCAAGACATATTAAATGTTTCATCCACATCTCCTAAGGTGGCATTCACTAGCATTTCATGGCACCAAATAACATGATACAATTCCATATTGCTGAATTACATAAAAAATCAATTTATCAAATTAGTCAGATATATTAAAAGTCTAACTTGAACAAAGCAATTTAATGCCTCAGAGGGTGCAAAAAGCCTCATGTGCTTTTACTTTGAAAGGATAAAATCTCTATCTTTAGAACACAATGTACAGAACTCAACTTCCTACTTAAGAGTCAAAGGTTAAATTTTTGGATGATAAATTATGCTTCTTATATGATCAAAATCATACATGCCAAAACTTACTATACTTTATTAAACAACATAAGGTCTGATTCAGCAGAAAAATTGGAAGGTGGTGATTTTTAAAAATATGTGGAAGTATATATCTGTTTTCAAAAGTATTTGAAATAACCATGATGGGACTATAAGTTCAAACAGTTTGAGCTAAGCAGATAAACTTGCATGCATGAAAACACATTAAACAGACTCATTTGGCTGGGAATATTCATTGCAACTCTCAAGGTGAGATGTGTTTTTGTGGCTCATCTCAGTCATTGCTTCCCTCCCATTGTATTTCCATTCTATTAATAAATAAACGTAGTTCATCTCTAAATGAATACAGAAAAAAGAATCTAGAATCTAGAGCTTATTTCTTTACCAATTTCTTTATGTTTATCTGGTTCAGAAGGTCTCTTGGTATATGGATGAATTAGTTTCCCAGCCCATATGCCACTTGGAAGACTGAGAGTGAGACTTAGGTTGATTAATGAACAAACATTATGAGAACATTCTCCAGAACCATTATTTAGATAGCAGAACTAATCTACTTAGACACATAATTACATATTTAGATAACCCCACTGTAACTGTACGCATGAGATTTTCTTGAATAGAAAATTTGACTAAATCAAATAATTGATAAAGAGAAAAAAGAGAAGCAGCAAGTGAACCTCTGTCTTTTGGAAGTTGGACTTTCTCTTTCTCTAAAGCCAGGAACTCTACTTGTAACATGCCTATCTCATTCTTAAACCTTGGAATATCTTGCTGTAAGTCTCCTAGCTATATTTTTGGTGTTTTTTTCACTATGTGGCAGAGAATAACTCACATTTTATAATTCAAGATTCCTGCTTTTGTAGTTGTTAGCACTGGGATTGTCATATGGTGGCTTCTGGAACAAGCACTGTATTGGTTTTCTGTTTTTAGAAGTATCTGTAGCAGCAGAAATACTATAGCTTTCTATCTGAATCATAAGCTTCATTTCTTTGGGGTGGGTAAACCACAAATCAAAAAGACTCTCAGGATCTCTAGATTGAGGCCAATACCTAATGTCTAATTTCCAAATAGTGGTATTCGGGTTTATATTTTTTGCTATTTGCATGTCAAACTCTTAATCATCTTTCATTTCAATCATAATTACTAGGTTCCTTAATTTTTTGGTTTCTGTATCATTAAATATTTTTTCTTCATCTTTTTTAGAAGCAAGCTATGTGTCTGGTTTGTTATCATTTTTATAGTCTGATTTATTTTCATTTAAATGAAACTTAGAAGATGACTGGCAAGTATATTTCAGGGACCTGGTGTGGGAATGGAATGAAAGACATTTTTCATGGGCTTCCTCTGTTCAGGCGCCGCCTGGAATGTCACAGAGTTAGACCCTCCAGATGTATCTTCCTCCTCACAATCATGGACATGACTCATCAGATCAGAGGGCACTCCTTTTTTGTTCATCCCTCTTTAGAGTTACTATGTAGAAGCTCTGCCTCAGGGCAAGCAATACTTTTGGAGTTTTCAAAACTTTCACCAATATTCAGCTTGAACTTGTTTGCAATGAATATTAAAGAAAGTCCTGAATATACAGATAGATTCCCGTTATCACAATTCTCACCCAGTTCTGGTTCTTGAGACCTTTTTTTTGGCAAGTGCAAAATGGAAAACAAATTTGCTTGTTTTGTTTCTCAGTTACTGTCTTTTCTGTTGGAGTGCATGTTTTAAAATTGGCTTTAATCAAGTACAAACAAAGAAATGTTCGAAAATAATTAAAATTTAACTGATACTTAATCTATGTGTCACTACTTTTATATGATGGGATTGTAACTAAAATATGAAAAATAATGTGCCTTGGCTTAACATAGGAGAGAAACATGAACTGGCAAGCTGAACTCTCTGTGTTTGTTTGGACTCAACTTAATTCATTATGTGTTAAATCTACCAGAAATGAATTCAAAGATATGTAGTATTATAAAAGATTCCTCTCTTACAAAGATTTTACCTCAGCATACCAGAAAGAGTGAGCCCCTACAGTGCATGTATATTTCTGAAGATTAACTAGAGACTAGGCAAACACTCAATTATTAAGAGCCAAACTGAACACCACTAACAAAGAGAAGCAAAATTTTAAATTCCAATTCAAATGATATACTATGATAGTGTTATGTATCTAGATAGATTTTCTGCTTATATCCACTTCTAATATATCTTAAGTTCCACTAGTGATAGTGGATGGATTTTTTAAATTGTAAGAATATTTTCTATGTATTTATGTTGAAATAAAGTTATTGTTTGTACCCTGACACCAAAGGTCCCATTCTGCAAGGTAGGATTCTCTTAATAGGCAACTGGGTTGACTTTTATGACCCGAACACAGACACTGAAGTCAACTGGTGACCACAAAACAGAATAAATCTTTAAACTGGACACTGGTGACCAGCAATATAAAACTGCAACGTTTGAACCACTGGCAATGATGACTCCTTTAGCGCTAGTTTAGCTCAGTGGCCATCATGGTTAAATTGTTCATAATTTCGATTTCTTAGTAATGAGACTCAATATTTCATGTTACCTTCTGAATCAAGAGTAAGGTTATAAAAATAAAAGAGCAAGAGAATTCTGAAGATTTCTTGCCTCAATTCCCAGAGTAAAGACAGCTATGAGTTACTAGAGATAGTAAGAATATCTTAAGTTTTGTAACAGGTTAAAATGTTTTAAAAATTGAATATAAAATTATGATCCATTGGATTCTAAAGGTATAGTCTAAAAGGTCATGTCATTTGGTCTATGCTTTGTTACTAAAGCAAAAAAAAAAAAAAAAAAGAAAACAATGTTAAACAAGAAACTTAAATTTTTATATACCTGTGGTTGCTTCTTTTCGCTTCTTTCACGCCTTTCTTGCTCTTCCTCTGAAGCCACTAGTAAGGCTTGTTCTGTTGACAAATTCATTGGTTTAGTTCAAATGAACTAAGAACAGTTAGATAAAGACTATAATCTTTATAAAAATAGAGAATAAAATTTCTTTGTATTATATATTTTGAGAGTTTAAATGAAGCTTAATGTTGACTGAAATATTTACTTCTTTAAGAAATACTTCTCATTATCCAAAACTTCAACAAACCCCTTGGGGAGACACTAGGTATCACCAGGTTCAAGCCATACAAAATCTCAGGGTCACTTACAAATTTTTCCACCCAATATAAATAAACAAAGCTGTTGCAAACAAAACAAATTTTGAAATACAGTCAAAATATACAATGTAACACTTTACTATAATTCATAACAGTATCTTTTTAACAACACACTGAGTTGGCAGTTATTAATAATTTGCAAAATTATCATTGTTTACACCTTAATTAGTGTGCACCCCATTTTTTACATCACAAATGTTTTCCCTTGCTATTCTGAAAAATTTATTTTCATCTTCTAAGACTCAGAATGTAGGCTGGCCATAATAGCTCACATCTGTAATCCCAGCACTTTGGAAGGCCACAATGGGAGAACTGCTCAAGGCCAAGAGTTTTAAGGCCAGCCTGGGAACCATAGATAACCTTGACTCTACAAAAAATTAGACAGGTATGTTGATATGTGCCTGCAGTCCCAGCTACTCAAGAAGTTCAGGTGAGAAGATCCCTTGAGCCCGGGAGTTTGAGGTTGCAGTGAGTCTCGATCACGTCATTGCACTCCACCCTGGGGCATAGAGTAAGAACTTGTCTCCAACAACAGAAAACGAAAAAGAAAAAAGGCTCAGAATCCTGTGTGAAGTCTTCCTTCATTCTAGCTGTCTTTCTCCACACACATGTGTCTGCTTCATGGGCCTCCCTTAGTACTTTGGCAATTTTTCCAGTGTCACTTTACCACCTAAACTGCACGTCATGTCTTTACATATTGATCCCCTTTGCTGCTAGGTTGTAGAGGACAATCTTTTGAATCATCTTTGTATAAACAGTCTTAACTTTGCTAAATAATTATTGAGTTCCTGCTATGTGTTAAGCACTGGGGTATAAGGAAGGAAAATAAAAGCTGTCAGCGATGGCTTTCCTAAAGATCATGCATGAGCTGCGACTTAGAGAGTGAGGTTAGCCAGATTAAGTGAGGCAGAGGGCGGGAAAGGGTGAGCACATGACAGGAAGCAACGAGAAAGGGAGAGAAGCCTCCAAGAGTGTATGTATTTCTCTGCAAAAGAGGAATGGTGAGGGGGCCATTGCCAGCAGCTCAGTAATTCCAGAGAAAAAGGCAGATGGGGAACGGGCTATGGATGAAGATTTGGGCAGAAATCAGTTTTCTTTTCTTTTCTTTTTTTGAGACAAGGTCTTACTCTGTCTCCCAGACTGGAGTGCAGTGGAATGATCCTGGCTCACTGCAACCCGGCTTCCCAGGATCAAGCAGTTCTCCTGCCTTAGGCTCCCAAGTAGCTGAGATTGCAGGTGCATGCCACTACCGCCTGCTAATTTTTGTATTTTTATTAGAGATGGGGTTTTACCTGTTTGACCAGGATCATCTTGAACTCCTGACCTCAAATGATCTACCTGCTTCAGCCTCCCAAAGTGCTGGGATTACAGACATGAGCCACCATGCCCAACCCAGAAGTCAGTTTCTGAAATCCTTATATATCTTTAAGATGCTTGGACATTAGGTATTCAGGAGTGGTTCATGGATCTATTTGCATTAGAGATAATTAACTCTAAATACTGTGAGGAGCATAAAATTTTGAGACACATAAACAAATGAACAAAAATAAAACATAAGGCAATGTTGCAAAGATGATGCAGGCCTGAGATGTTTTCAGAAATATTTAGGATATAAGTATCAGTGGTCATTATAAGAATGGATTTTTACTGCATGAATAAATGTATATATCTGGGTCCCTGGAGCAATACACTCTGCTCATTACTTTACAAACTTTATCAAATGAGAAGTAAATTAATCTACATAAACTGTTTCAGTTACTTCTATTTACTTTACACTTTTTCTGTTTCAGTTTTACCATGTGCAGGAAATGCATTTGGGTTTTGTGGTGGTTGTTGTTGTTGTGTGAAATGGAGTTTTGCTCTTGCTGTCCAGGCTGGAGTGCAGTGGTGCTATCTCAGCTCACTGCAACCTCTGCCTCCCAGGTTCAAGAGATTCTCCTGCCTCAGCCTCCCAAGTTGCTGGAATTACAGGCATGTGCCATCATGCCCAGCTAATTTTGTGTTTTTAGTAGAGATGGGTTTCTCTATGTTGGTCAGGCTGGTCTCAAACTCCCAACCTCAGGTTATCTGCCTGCCTCAGACTCTGAAAATGCTGGAATTACACCCACGAGCCACGGCACCCAGCCACATTTGGGAATTTTCTTTTAAAAGTTCTGCTTCCTGGATTTACCAAGCTCATGAGAAAATAGAAGCAAATAAGTCATTTGCATAGTTCAGAAACTTTGGATTTATAACTTGTCGTCACTACTCTAGAAGACTATCATCATGTTTTGTAAAACAAAATGTTAATTCTAGACATAAGGGGAAAAAGAAATTAAAACTATAAGGGTGAAAATATATTGCATAATTTATTACTCTTGACATGACCATATGACTGATTAAGAGCACTGAATTTCACTTGCATGTAAAGTAGACCCCATATTAGCTGCAGTTAGTCAATAGACTTGGTGTTCTAGCAGAATTAAATTGGATGCTCCTGTGTTATCTTTAAACGATACAGCTCTTCTGAACACCCATACTCCTAGTGCATGACTATCCATTAAGACAAGGTGAAGGAATGTGTAAGTACAGCTGAGGAGACACCATAAGGCAAATGCTCAATGGTTCCCATTAATATTGGGGAAATCAACACTATAATACAGAAAGCTATAGGCATTATTTAATATTTGGCTTGGGAAGGTATTTTTAGTGACATTGCATACAGTTGTAACTAATAATTGCACAATTAGAGATGTAAAAATAAATCAAAGCCACATTGTCTTTGAGTAGGAAATCTGTAGACGTCTGCAGCAGCCCCCAATTTTTCCAATCCAGCCCCAAAATTCTAAATATAATCATGGTACCACTCTCAAATGTATGTTAAATACTAAACTCAATGAAATTACACTTTCTCCTTATTCTCTTTGTTATTTGTATGTTGCTTTCCTTAAAGGAAGAATACAAATGCCTTGCTAAGAAGCATTCTGTTTGGGTGTAGCCTGCACAAGGGGAGGAAACACAAAGGACTTTTGGCCACAAAATGACTTCTGAAAAGTCAGAACTGTGGGAGCATGAAGCCAGCCAAGGGAATCGAGAATAACATGTTCTATGCTTCCTTCCCTTCTTTGTTCTCTTCCTACTCTAATAGCTGCGACTCACACAGGTAATGAAGAATATAATTCCCTGATAGTAACACAGCTCCAAGATTAATCCTTTCTTTAACTATGAAGTTTGTGTGTCCAAAGTCTGTAGTTGCTGTCTGATTTTTCATCACTGATGGTGATAGACATTTATCATCAACTCACAACTTCCCAAATCTTTGAAAAGTCTTACTATTGA